GGACCATACGACAGCCCTTGTGTACAAATTATGATTGCTGATAAAACCAATACTTCTAAAGGAATCAGTACATATATATATACAACGGGACCAAAAACGTCAAACTTTCTTCTGTGACAAACCCTGATATCACAGGGCCGGATGTCATAGTGTTAGTTGACACACAAGCAGTATAACACACTAAATATGTTTTTGTTCGGCTATCACCAGTGTGTTAAATCCAGTGACCGAATCATCTACCTTTCGTTATAGGTGCATTTGAGGTTAAACGCAATCCTCAAAATCTGTTTTAATAAACACTATCTAGATATATTGTATCGTGGGGTTAGTTTTTCTTTAGCTACAACTTATATATGAATCATAAACTTCCTTTGTGGTTTCAGACATGTCATCAGCCTATTTTGTTTTTTGAGAAACAAAATATACTGCATAATGCTGTGGTATTTTATATTTCAAAAGATTACCGCCGAACATATCACCGAATGTGACAGTGATCGAGTGCGTGAACTGTCTTAGTTCGATTGAACTTCAGTGCGATACAACGTATGTACGTATCTCTCCCCTCCATTTCTGAATTTTAATTACACTAATTTAGATATTTAAATTGTCCTATACCATATAGTCTTTCTGTGATATATTGAATATTGGTCATTACAAGTGGACATCGTTGTCTTATTTTGAACCAATTTTTGGTAACAAACATATGTTCGTATGGTAGTAACCATACGAACATATGTGTGTTACCAAAAATTGGTGCAAAAGGACCCTCGAAAACCTTGCTTTTCTTACAAACGAACAGTGGGGTGTGGTAGACATTACCGACCGTAACCTGCGATCATTGTGAACTTAACAAGTGCTTTTTTATGTACAAAATAACGGACAACTGTGCGGTTATATTAATATCAGGTATCAATTTACATGTATTTAACCATATTGTATCCGACAGGAAAAAAATCAATGACTATGCTTCATTTGGAAGTGAACATACAAAAAACGACACAGGCAGATCTTTATATTAACAGACTAAGTGTGTCACTACGACGTAAATATACAAACAAACAAACAACATTCTCGTTATATTGTTTTTTTTACCTATACAACAGATATAATGAGTTTGGAATGTTGTCAAGTACACATGTACTAGCTCGCCGAAAATTATCTTTCCCTTCCTCCAGACATTACTATGACAGTCTGATTGCCATGGTGATATCTGGGACCATATTCATGAAGCAGATGTCAGTTTTACACTCGTTTCGTCTAGAAATGGTGCAGGAAATCCACACCATTCGCCATCACAGAATGTGTACAATGGCAGTCGGGACTACATCATAGACAAGTGGTGTATTGTGGCGCTCGTAGTTCATTGAAAATGTCAGGGAACGCTTTGTTACACCCGTGAGGAGTGGATTGGTTTGATACTCTAGGGATGTCCGTCCGTTCTGACAATCTGTATAATTGGCCCGGACAATAACACAACATACACGTTATCTATCGGACACGTCTACTGGCTGCAGTCACTCAAATCAAAATACGAAGGAATTTATCAGCAAAACTTTCCAAATACGACGCATATAGAATAACGTTAGCCGAACAATCACCGTCTTTAAGTCTAGTCTAGATTATCACTGGGGACTCTCATAGAGGTGTTTGAATCTTGTTTTAAACACAAGTTGCTATTCTGAATTAGTTAACGAATTATCTTGGTTTTTATTTGACAATCGGACGGGGAAATAATGTGTTTTAGAATCGGTGAATTTCTTCTTTTCCCTCTTACTTGAGATCAAAGATCGTACGTCTCCGACTTGCAGCCTGTTTTCAGTTGGTATTCATAGGAATGTAAATGCCAAACCAACGGATTTAAAGGAAAATTTACATAAACACTTTAAGTATTTTCTCTTTATGAATGTCAGCGCTATAAAACTAATTAATAGTCAAATGAGACTTCGTAGAGCTGTATGCTATGAAAATGTCGCGTGAATATATTTTTTTCAGAATAATTGCATTTTAAAAACAAGCGATGGACGTGGTGATAAATTACAGAGTTCTCAGACAGTCAAGTACAGGCTGGTATTTATATTTTGATCCGGTTAATGTTTGTACGCGTCTCGTAAGTAAACGTCGCTACCACGTGTTGTACTTCGTGTAGAACCGGTTTATGGTACCGCGATATCACATTAGCTCAGGGTAATTGTCGTAAAGTTGCCTTCTTGGAAAACCAGACGGTTACCAGACGGAAGCAGACGACAAACAGATTGCACGTGCTGATGGATTTCTAATGAATGGCGGGAAGCTTTACTCTCCCAGAAACATTCGTTAATCTAATCGATTAGGGGTGCTTTTTGTGTTGTAACTATCGAAGTAAAATTCAATAATTGTTAGTCCTTGGTGTAGAAATTCTCGCTCGCGAATTAACAGGATTGCGTACAGGCGGCGTAATTTGCTGGTCGTTTGTTGAAGGAGAAAGCCCTTTACACACTGAGAAATTATGTGGTAATTTACTTTGGCTGGTTCGATAAGCGTTATAAACGAGAGCACTTGATACGGCATTAATGTGCGTTTCCGGCGCGTTGCTGTCTGATAGCTGTAGCTGCCCCAGACGTAAGGTTCAGACAGGATTTGTGATGCTGGCATAATAACTTATATGAAATGACAAGAAGCAACATACCACAAATAAATACAAACATGTCTGTTTTTTTAGGTAGGACAATCCTAAGCTTTACTTGCGTGTAACTCGTCTGTTTTGTTATCTAAGACACCTAAGACTGTCCCTTTGCTGTCGAACAAATAACCCGTCCACTCATTATACCCAGTTGACTCGAAAATGAAATCTTTATTCTATTTATTGGTTTTCTTTTTACATTTGTTTTTTTTATTTTGCTTTTTTCCTTTCGTTGTCAGTGCTAGTGTATGAAAACACACATATACATCCATGCAGACGTTTAATTAGTGTAGATAAAATTACAAATTTGTTATCTACCACAGCAAGTGTACAACGCTAATCAAATTAAAAGTGTACAGTGTGTTCTTAACAAAAGTCAATCAACTGTTAAGTATTCATAATTTATCAAGTAAGTTAATTTTATGTAAAAAGTTTAGTGTGAGGTTTTTCGCATCATTGAAACTTCACTATTTATAACAAGTTCAATATGAGTGTGTCGCATTTCTGACGAAATCTGTCTAGCAAATTCTGTATGAATAGTAAAATAGTAGCAAGTTCAGTTTAAATGGCGAGTTCCTTATAATTTAGCAAGTTCACTATGTGAAGTATGCTATCTATACGCCTAGTAAACTTAAGGTTTAGCAAGTCCATTATGTATACTACTATCAATTTCACGATGTTTAGTAAGTACGAAGGAAATTCCTTTTGCAAAGTAAGTTCAGTATGAATATCGAATTCACTATGCAAATGAAATACGCTATGTACATGGTGTTTATGATATTTAGCAAGTCCACGCTGTAGCAATATTTAACAATCAAAATAAGTTTAAAATCGAGATATTTCAGTCCTACGGATTTATAAAAGATGTACCGTGGATACGTATAGTCGTATAAACGTGGTCCGTGGTAGTATATGTAGCACACTCGGTCATTGTTTGCCTACCACCATCACCGAGTTTGTCCTACTGACATTTCACACGCTTATTGTTATGTTAGATCTGATATAAAGTAAGTCGGACGTTCCTACATACACCAAGAGATGTTTTGACAGATATATTTCACATGGTTTTATCTACGCTATATCTTCCCATAAATGTCCCGTCAAAATACTAGTCCATGTGTAACCTAAAATATCTTCATGTCAGGCGGGTGAGGGATGCTCGGATAGGGTAGATGATATTGGTGGTCCGGCGGGGAGGGGGCTGCATTTCTACAGTTGCTTAGATGCTCCTTCTACCCCCAACGGGATACCCAACCACCCCTCTACCCCCTTCCTAACAACATCCTGCATCCGCAATCAGGAGGTTTCGGTAAGTTTGATTGTGGTATGTAAGGAGGATCGGAGGACGAGTTGGGTATATATATGTTAGGGGAGATTATCATCGTCAATGGCTTCCTCGACTTCTCCTAACATCTCATTAGCATTTACACCCAATCATTCACCCATCAACCTCATCATCTTCTCTCGTTCATTCTTCCATCCTCCTATCATTTCATCACATACTAACTTCACAATTTTCAATCAAATATCATCGTCACCTACGCCAATCCCTTAATTCCCCGACACTCCTCTTCCTGTAAAATCATCTGTAAGTCTATCATCACGTAGCATCTCCTTCTCATCCTCCCTTCGTCATCTTTCTCTGCACCCTTTCACTCTATCCTCTACGCACCTCGCCACCGCTGTCGTTATCGTCATCTCTCCCCGTCAATTCATCACACCATGTGCATCACCTCCTCTGATAACCCTGTAACCCCTCCTATCGTATACATATAAATGTCTAGCCCCCACCCCTCCAAACATCTCATCAAAACATGTAGTCTTTACTTACCTCAACCCCCATCTAGCTTATGTATCATCATCTAATTCCACAAGGGTCGCCTATAACACATCTTCACTGATTTCCCCCTCCCCCTTCGAACACCTCATCTAGGTAAGGAATTGTCCCCTTCCCTCCTTCGTATCTAATATATCATCATCTAATTCCACAAGGGGTCTCCCTATAACATATATTCACTCATTGCCCCCCGCCCCCCTATCCGAACACCCCATCTAGGATAATCATGATATCGCCCCCCTCCCTCCTCCTCATCTAATATAATATTATTTTACCCACCCGGNAAACTAGCCCCCACCCCCAAAACTATAATCATAATCGAGACGCTTCTGTGTTCGCGGACACGTGACCATTATATCTGCGAATGTTTGTTAGTGTCTTCAATAAATTAAAGGTACCTCATAAGAGCACGTGTTTAAGATTATGCCCAGAATAGTAAATATAGAACAGACGAAAAATTACTAGTACTATACGTAAACAATAATGTAAGATAAATGCACTTACCTTCAGCAAGTATTATTTCCATAATAATGACAATTAGAATCACCGTTATGGTGTGAATGTTTGTAAACTGCATGTTGATATGTTGTAAGTGGACGGTTAAAGCGGCTAGCCACAGCAGTAAATCTGTTCACCACAAACACTGTTAACTCGCCTCCAGAGATGTCGACTGACCTGTGGCTATTTCATAAACTATAGTCCTCATTAACAGAGACGGTAATTTGTAGTATACACTCCGCCTCCGCGATATGTTGTCCACACCCGTGCTTACAGCGGTAGATACCGGGGGTGGTGTTTAGTCACAGCAAGCTCTCCTGTTGTCAAAGATCGGTCATCCGGTTCACGCGATGTGTCCCGATCGTTCACATTTCACTGTTGTAAGGATGTATCTTCTTGGTTGGTAACTCTTAATAACTACTCAACGAACGTATCGCTCACAACCCAAACCATCTCTTAGTACAAAGTGGTAACACAAATGTGTCTATTTCAGCACCGCAATCTCTTAATATAAACTGATGTCTATTTCAGCACCGATTTCAATTCGATTTCTGCGGACGCTGTTGATAAAGACCTCTGCCATAAAAAATATATTCTCCTTGTTCTCTTTCGACCGTTTCTGATTCTCTTAGATACGATTTGTTCTAGAAAGTTATGGATTATATATATGGCCAACTTGCTTGATAGCAGGCGACATCGAACAATAACCTATCATATTCGCGTTCGCAGTTTGACAAAAATCGATCCCTGTTTACTACAGCGTGTTATATAGATACTAATTTTCTAACTCCGGTCGTATGCGTTCTGTATGCGCTAATGACCCTCGAGACCCCAACCTGTTTTATGTAATCATACAATACGACCCTAATCCATACATATCAATTAGGGTTTGGTACATAACAGGTGCTCTCACTGACCACAGAGGAGGTATAAAAACTGACCACGAAGGACCTATAAAGATAAGTACAGTTATCAACTCCCAGTAACGCGCCGATGTGACTCATAGATTAGCTATAAGGTAATAAACAATTTACAATTGACAGATAATTGCGCTACTCTTACCGCTTCCGTCAATGTTCGTACCGAGGCTGAAATAAGGTTTATTTTTAAACACACGACAATGAAATGATAAAGGAATATCCTAGTTCGTAAAGATACATGAAATGTTTTCTTTTTATTATTTGAAAACTGACATCAACATTCTGAATTATTCTGTAGCAATAGAAATAAATGTTACAAATGCTGCGAAACAGACATCTTTGCTGTCAAACCATTGTCACATTCAGCGCGCTAGACTGCGGAGTACTAAACTGATGAAAGCAATAAAGAACATTTTACTTAATGGTCGCATGACAACCAACGTCACCGCCAGTCTTAGATTCATATTCAGATTCATTTATTCTCTCAATATAACCCTCACTGTCACTGTAGAATTTGCAGAAACAGCGAGATTACTGGCAAAATAAATATTTGCTACAGTAGCATGAGCACCTCTGGTGTACGGTGTCGTCATATAACTTTTATAGTCACAATTAGTGTAATATTCATCGATAAAACGCCTTAAAGCTTCCGCCAGTTATTGCTGCCATTTTGTTTGCAACTGTATCATGTGTGACGTTCGCGTAGGTTCCTCGCCGTGGTATTGAGGAACATCGTAATTGCCAAAGCAATGTACAGAGAGATCCACCCTTTCAGGTGTCATATTTAAAGCCAACGCTTCAATCTACCTTTCCGTCTCACAAAACGGTCACGTCCTCTTCCGATTCAATCATTTTATGTTAATATATAAGCCGAAGTAATCTATTAAATACCATTTTTTTTTTTAAATTTCTAAGTAAATATAATTTTATAATACGTGGTAATTTTATAACACGTGGTATTTAGTTAATCAATCATAGTTATCATTAACGTGGAAAGACGATATAATGTCGAAAAAAAAAGAACAAAAAACGTGAAAACAAGCACTAATATCTATAAACTCACCACGATATATATAAAACATGCCTAGTTTCATCAAATTAAGGGCGCAATGTTTTCTTCTGATCGATTTAAATCTTCGCCTTTCTGTAGAAGATGAACATAGCAGACAGGCGATTACATCTTTGAAATTTGGTGATGCAATATTACGAAAATAAATCACACTGGAACATACATCTGTTTCATCCCTGTTGAAGCAGACGGACAGGTGCGTAAACCGCTTAAACATTTATGAATTAAAAAATGTAGAGGAGTACTGGTTAATTTTGAATTAAATCATCTGTAAAAGGTATATATATCATGAACTGTGCCACGACTCCAAAGAGAAAACTGCACTATAAGTTGTCTTTCAGCTTCTTTTAACAACGAAATATTTGTGACTTATTTTCTCTTTATAATGATGCAAATAAATAAAGAAATTAATTGTTGTTTTCCCGTTTTGTCGACTTCCGGATTCACGAGGCGAAATATTTGCAAGAGAATTCCGCAATTTTGCAGCGAAATAACATCAATATGACAGACCTATACCATATCTATTATTTACGCTTCACAAGATATTTATATTCGCAAAGTTGTATTGCAAAATTGAAGTATTCCTCGCAAAGAAGTATTGATACATAACGTTAAAGCTAGATACGTTTTTACGTTGAGTTTTTTTGTTTCAATTGGGAGTTGGGCACAAGTTTAACAACTTGTTAGCGAACACTTGGCTAGCGAAGATGATTATATATATGTTAATTGAAAGAGACAGACAGCCAGCCAGACAGACAGAGAGGTGGGGAAGAGAGACAGACAGACAGACAGACAGAGTTATACTTAGTTATACCTAGTTTTGACTATGCTATACTTTATTGTTCCAGAAGTAAATTGAGTACATATATCTGTGCGGTAGGATAAGACGTAACAGCGTGTTGATAGTGATAACGTTATCATTAATTATAGCGGGTCTATATCATCCCTCTCGGGCGACAGAAAACGTCCATCACAATCTACCGCTAGTCCCCTCCCATCCTGCACTTCCATGTAAAGAAACTTAAATTAAACATATGTTTCTGCTTATAAACAAACTAATGAAGGATTGAACGACACGTACACCAGGGGCGGATCCAGGATTTCCTGAAACGGGGGGCCCTCAATGGTCAACGGTGTGCTGCCGAAGGCAGCTCACCGAGCGCGTAGCGCGAGGAGGGGGATGGTATGGGAGGGGGTGTTCCCCCTCCCGTAAGGGGGATTTGGGGGATCTCCCCTCAAAAAATTGTGTTTTCTAGAACGTCTCAGAAGCGATTTCCCGTGTTCTGAGGATTGTTTTTATGTTTAATTGACAAGAAGAAAAAAACATATTTTAAGTATGGCCCAAAGACTGTTTTTGTGTACTGGAAAGAAAATTAAAGTTTCGGTTCAAATTCTCTATCAACAGCGTGTTTTAGAAGTCAGATGGTATTATTATAGGGGCAACCTGGTGATGACAAATGTATGAATCCACAGGGGGCTTGTTCATTATTACCTAATTTGGCGTCCCGCCCGCAAGGGGGATACGAGAGGTCCACCGTCAAAAAATAAATATAGGGACGCACAATATCTAGTCTTCAGACATTGTACCTACAGTACAGTACTTCATGTAATAGTTTGTCGTACAAAAGAACAAATAACACCATAACATCGTTGCTGTTTATTTAATGAATTACTCATGGCATCACTAAGTTGCTGAACAAACGGATAAGTTCAAATCAGTGCGACACCCAAGACCACTAGCTATATAGTCTCGTGTTTTATAATTGTTGACTAATTCACTAGTGTAGAAAATGATATATATGAAATGTCCACGCTGATTAACTCATGTAAGGGCGTGCATATTGCCAACAGTGGTACATTTGCTAAGCTATCTGGTTAAAATGGTACATTTTAGGAGGCACATACGCGTCACCTTTAAATTTAATTTAAAATTATCATACTTGTAAGTACAGCATATCACGTACAACTTATTACTACGTACACAATAGTATGCTGTGTGAAGATACTTTCTTGTACGTACACGATGGTAAGCTATAAGTACCACAACGAGATATTATGTTGTACATACAAGATAGTTAAACAGTTCCAACAATATATATAATACCAAAATAATTGAATGGATATGTTTAGTCGATTATAAATAATATTATCAGCCGAAAAAAAACCTTAATCGTTCTTGTATTATGATATGATTAATATCGCCCGGGCGGTTAGGAAGGTTACAATAAAAAGTATTAATTTTCAGATCATCTATAACGAGCGGTCAATAATATAATTATGCAACTTATGTTAGTATATTTCCACCGAGCGTTGCAAGTTGCAACTTCGGGTTTTGCGGAGGTGGTAAAATAAAAAACACACTTTAGGGTCAAGATACAATGTAGACGAGTGTAGCGATGCCAACAAATATTGTTTCAATAAAGAAAATATAGTAAAAACATCAGATAACGGAAACCCACAATATTTGCTAGGATGCCGTATGGGATGTGTGGGGCGTAGCCCCAGATTTTTTTTATACAAGCTCCGTGCATTATTTGATGCATTTTAAAATGTTAATATGTTTCCATTCCCGGCCGATCAGACCATTTCGGGCCGGCCCGGAAAAGGTCAGTCCGCCGCCTAAATCCGCGCCTGTACACTTTGTCAAGTTCTGATAACCTATACATAAACAAACGATAATCAGAAAGAATGGCGCACTTGTATAAAGTGCATGTTGACAAGAGTATATACTATCAAGTACAAACTCAGACACTGGTAATACGTGACCTTAATACAGGATAATGCATTCTGTGTGTTGACGATATTTAGAATTCTTATTCATCAGGGTAACATTAGATATAAAACATGTTATTTTGATAATTCTGTTGTATTCATGGCGGAGTGAGTTTGACATTATTTGTCAAAGATTTATTCGACACGTAAAACAAACATGACCATCTCAGAGATTGATGTAGGCTTACGTCATAAAGTCCAATAGTATATAAATATAATACCACCTGTATTAACCTGGTCCTATATAAAGGATACAATGACTCACACCTTTCAAATATCTGTTATTCAGATATTTCACCGTTGTTTGTTTACATAGTAAAGGTATAAATCAGTATTTGTCAATAAAATCTATATAAAATTAAAACTGATTACTCATTTATACCTTCCCCTCCATTTAAGTTGTGATATCGTGGGTTGAAACCTGTCTCCCCTTTTTGCAACAATACACTCACCCAAACGAAAGAAAAGACGAGTTTAAGTTGAATATAAACGATTACCAGAACAGTGTTGTGTATGAAACAACTGCGCCCCCTGTGACCTCTCTGATATCGGATGTCAGTTTCTCTGTACGTCAGAAATGCGCTCCGACACTACCGAATACCACTCACACACAATATGTATGTATCTGTTTCACAATCAGTATTTCTATGTATGTCAGTTGTATAAATCCTTATTGTTAGCTTGTCACGATGAATGGCCCAGTGTCCCCCTCAAAACTGACGTAACAGAAATAGCATGTGTTTAACAGGTCGGAAAATATAAACAAGCCGTTACTGTCTATTTCATTCAGTTAAAATGTGCACTGTACACATTTAGTATTCAGAAAGCCAGAATGAACATGATGTGAATAATATATTTTCCTACTTCTTTGGAGGACGTTTTGATTTAGTTTGTGTCAATATCAAAATGAAAACAAATAGGGAACATTGCTGCGAGATACCTTTATTTGTGTTCCACTCTAGGAAAAAAGGTATTTTGAACGGTATTTCGGACGAATCACAAAAAAAACACGCTTTGAGCACGCCCGGTTATATTTCTAAGGGAGATAACTCTAACAC